TTTTTGATCTGCAGTTGGTTGCAGGAACCTGAGGATACAGAGGGCTGACTGTACGTTCAAATAACTGGGAATTCAGGCTGGGCTTTGTGGCTCACACCTGTAATCCCAGCACTTTGGGAGGCTGAGGCAGGCGGATCACCTGAGGTCAGGAGTTGGAGACCAGCCTGGCCAACATGGTGAAACCCCGTCTCTACTAAAAATAACAAACATTAGCCAGGTGTGGTGGTGCATGCCTGTCATCCCAGCTACTCAGGAGACTGAGGCACAAGAATTGCTTGAACTTGGGAGGTGGAGGTTGCAGTGAACTGAGACCTCGCTGCTGTACTCCAGACTGTGCAACAGAGCAAGACTCCAACTCAAAAAAAAAAAAAAAAAAAAAAAAGAAAGAAAGAAAGAAAAATAAAAAATAATTGGGAATTCAGAAAGTGGAGCTGGGTTCAAGGCTTCTTAAACAAGACTCTCCATGGCTCCTTATTTCCCACCTTGCAGTTCTCCTTCCCACTGTGTTAGGTCTACCTCATGCTGCTTCTTCCCTCCTGGAAACAGGCTGGCTGCCCAGCTCAGGACTGTGCTAATCAGGGGAAATAGCACACCTGTCTCTGGTTGGCCTGTGAACAGTGCTGGACTCAGCAGCTGACTGGTCTGACTGGATTACTCATCCTCATTCCTAATGGTGGGGGAGGCGCAAGGGAGGGACTAAGAACTTGGATGATTTAATTAATCCAGAATGGTTACCTCCCTACCCCTGAAAAAGAGGGATATAGGACCCAACCACATTCAAATCAATAATATGTACTACTTGTGAGAAGGGTGGTTTCCCAAAGAAAATCAAGAGATATTCCTACAACATAATGATTCCCATTCTGTGTCTGTACCAAAAACTCTGATATGTCTCCTTGAAGCTTCACGTATTCGAGGGTCCAGACAAGAGTAGTGGTCATATAAGTTTAAAGGAAGATTAAAATACTCCACAGGACCAGGTGTGATGGCTCACATCTGTAATCCCAGTACTTTGGGAGGCCAAGGTGGACACATCACTTGAAGCCAGGAGTTTGAGACCAGCCTGGCCAACATGATGAAACCCCATCTCTACTAAAAACACAAAAATCAGCCCGGTGTGGTGGTGCACACCTGTAGTCCCAGCTACTTGGGAGGTTGAGGTAGGAGAATTGCGTGAACCCGGGAGGTAGAGGTTGCAGTGAGCCAAGATCGTGCCACTGCACTCCAGCCTGGGCAACAGAGTGAGACCAAAAAAAAAAAAGAAAAGAAAAGAAAAGAAAAAAAACCTCTACAGCAAGTGGACAATTTATTTGTCTGAAGTCGCTAGAAGATGAAAAGCTGTGGATGGCCAGGGGAGGTTCAGAATGTTTTCGTTACTAGAGGTGGAGGGATTAAGAGAGTTCCACTGAAAGACAACACACTTGACTAGCACCACACACACAAACAAACAAACGAACAAAAAACAGGAAAAGTGGTGGGAAAGAATGGGAAAATGAGATGGTAAAAGTTTTAAAAGGCCAGCATGTATTTATTTATTTATTTATTTATAAGACAGGGTCTCATTCGACTGCACTGGAATGCACTGGAGTGCAGTGGCACAATCTTGGCTTATTGCAGCCTCATCTCGGATTCAGGCGATTCCCCCACCTCAGCTTTGCGAGTAGCTGGACTACAGGTTCCCATCACCACGGTTAATTTTTTGTATTTTTAGTAGAGACAGGTTTTCCCCATGTTGCCTAGGCTGGTCTCAAACTCTTGGTCTAAAGTGGTCCACCAGCCTAGGCCTCCCAAAGTGCTGCGATTACAGGTGTGAGCCACTGCACCCAGCCGGCCAGCAGTTTGAAAAGCAGTGATTGTGCCAGACGATTTACATACATCATTTCTCTTAATTAAATAATTTAACAGGTGGCTCAGGCCTGTAATCCCAGCACTTCCGGAGACTTGTTTGAGGTCAGGAATTCGAGACCAATCTCAGGAGTTGGATTGGTCTCAAACAACTCTCCCAAGGCAGTAGAATCGTTTGAGGCCAGGAGTTCAAGACCAACCTAGGCAACAAAGTGAGACTCCTCTACAAAAAGTCGAAAAATTAGCCAGGCACAGTGGCTAATTTTAACCTATGAGGTCCAGCCCACAAGGTCCAGGTTGTGGTGCGTGAAGTTTGCTCCAACGCCCTCCTGCCTGAGTAAGAGAGTAAGACCCTGTCTCAAAATAAATAAATAAATAAGTAAATGAAAGAAAGAAAGGAAAAAAAAAAAAAGCCCAGGTGCTGTGGCTCACGGCTGTAATCCCAGCACTTTGGGAGGTAGAGGATGGTGGATGGTTTTGAGCTAAGGAGTTTCAGATCAGCCTGGGCAACATGGTGAAATCCTGTCTCTACAAAAAATACAAAAATTAGCTGGGCGTTTGTGCTTGCGCCTGTGGTCCTAGTTGTTGGGGAGGCTGAGGCAGGAGAACTGCTTGAGCCTGGGAGGTGGAGGTCGCCGTGAGGCAAGAACAAACCACTGCACTCCAGCCTGGGTGACATAGCCAGACCCAGAGTCTCAAAAATAAATAAATAAATACATAAAAATAAACAACTATGTATTGCTTGACTGCTGTGTCGTTTCCAAGCCCTGGGGATGCAGGTGTGACCACAATTGGCCAAAGTGACAAAACCAAACAGCTGTAACCCTGCAAGACTGGGGTTATTTTATACAGAGGAAACACAGAAGTTAAACATTCTTCTCAGGACGCTTCAGCTAGTAACTAGCAGTGGGGGCTGGGGCCAAATCCAGGACTGCCTGACTCCAGAGCCTTTGATTTGATAGAAGGAAAGAAAATGAAAAAGAGGAGAAAAGATTACATAGAGGAGGGGAACAAATCAAGGCAAATATAAATGAGCCAGGAAAAAAAAAATCTAGATGAGAGAGAAATAAGAAAAGGTTTGCTAGGAACCCCTACCCCCCTTTTACAGGTGAGGAAACTAGGCTGAGATGTAATAAATCTGTATTTTTCCTTCGCTACAGATAAAGCTTTAGAACCACAATAAGAGGTAAGGCTTCAAAAGAAAAATACCTGGGAAAGTTAAAACATAATAATTGGCTGGCCAGGTGTTGTGGCTGAGGCCTGTAATCCCAGCACTTTGGGAGGCCGAGGCGGGCAGATCGCTTGAGGTGGGGAGTTCGAGACCAGCCTGACCAGCATGGTGAAACTCCATCTCTACTAAAAATACAAAAATTAGCCGGGTGTGTTTACAGATGCCTGTAATCCCAGCTAGTCAGGAAGCTGAGGCAGGAGAATTATTGGAACCCGGGAAGCGGAGGTTGCAGTGAGCCGAAGTCACGCCATTGCACTCCAGCCTAGGCTACAGAGTGAGACTCTATCTCTAAAAAAACAAAAAACAAAAAACGGAAAAACGTAATAATTGGCATATCTTTCAGCTAAGAGGGAATAAATAAAAACACAGGTTCTTTTTCTCTCTCTTTTTTTTTTTTTGAGATGGAGTCTTGCTCTGTCACCCAGGCTGGAGTGCAATGGGATGATCTCAACTCACTGCAACCTCTGCCTCTCGGGTTCAAACAATTCTCCTCTCTCAGCCTCCCGAGTAGCTGGGATTACAGGTGCGTGCCACCACGCCGGACTAATTTTTGTGTTTTTAGTAGAGATGGGGTTTCACTATATTGGCCAGGCTGGTCTTGAACTCCTGACCTCAGGTGATGGGCCCGCCTTGGCCTCCCAAAGTACTGGGATTACAGGCATGAACCATCACACCCAGCCTTTTTCTCATTTTTTTTTTAGAGCAGATGTAACAAGTAAATTTAGCAATACGTCAGACTAGACTGAAAGGGGTTTAGAGTGGGGGTATATTTGGGGGCAGGAGACTAGCTGAACTGTTCAGGAAATCTTGGTGATTTTTATTTTCTTCCTTTTTTTTGACACGAAGTCTCGCTCTGTGGCCCAGGCTGGAGTGCTGTGGGAGGATCTCAGCTCACAGCAACCTCCACCTCCTGGGTTCAAGTGATTCTTCTGCTCTCCCAAGTAGCTGAGATTACAGGCGCCCGCCACCACGCCCAACCAATATTTGTATTTTTAGTAGAGACGGGATTTCACCATGTTGGCCAGGCTGGTTTTGAACTCTTGACCATGTTGGCCAGGCTAGTTTTGAACTCTTGACCTCAAGTGATCCGCCTGCCTCGGCCTCCCAAAGTGCTGGGATTACAGGCGTGAGCCCGGCGCCCGGCCCTTGGTGATTTTTCTAAGCTTATCACAGTCTCTCTCCCCTTAGAGTTAATTATTCTTGTGGCTCTGTCTTCCTAAGGGAAGTGGTTCGGACAAAATACATGCCAGGCAGTGCAAGGGCTGCTAGGAGAAAGGCCCGAGATACCCCTCCCGGCATTCGCTTGGGGGCCCACAATTTACATTCAAACTTCTTCAGAAACTTCCTTTTCCCGGTGTTTGCTAAAGGTGATAGTTTCCAGGTCACCTGACCGGTCTCCTTTGCTGTCAGCGCCAAGTCCTGCAAGTTTGCGTGAGAGGCGAGAAACCAGCAAGAGTTTGGCAAACTTTCTAAACCAGGCTTTTCCTTCAGGGTGGAATCTAGGCGGCCACAGTCTGGTGCCAGCTGGGTTACAAACAGCTCCGTGACCTGTTTGTAAACGCGGTGCTCTTAGTTCCAGCCTAACCGCTCACAAGGGTGAAGCACTTAATTAATTCATCTTTTAATCTTGTTAGAAGCCAACCGCTCCTATTAGTGTTTGGGCGTGACGGGGACGGTGCTGTTTATGAAGTCCCAGCCCATTTGGAGGTTAGGAAGAGGGGTCTGTGGGTAACTTGAAGGTCGACAGACTAGGAAGAACGCTCGAGGGAGCGCCAGGCCTGTTACAACGAGCGCGCGCCGGCGCACTTCTCCACCCACCCGGCGCAACCGCCAGAGCGCGCTCCCAGCAACCGCGGCTCTCGCTGCGTTTGTAGCCACTACGTCACGGCCTCTTCTGCTTCTCATTGGGCGAGTCCGTCCAATCATGTGATTCCAGTATGGCGTATAAATAAAGGCGAGGAGAAGGCGGTGGTCCGCCATTTCGTGGACGCCGGGTGAGCGAGAGCATTGCTGGGTGTTGGGCCGGAGGAAAGCAGGAAGACCCATCGGAGCGTGTGGATTTGAGCCGCCGCATTTCTTAACCCTAGATCTCGGTAAGAGACCAGCGAAAGAGGGAGTGAGGTGGAAGTGGAATTTAACCGTACCAAGGAGGAGTCAGGCCCAATGGCGGCGCCAGATTGAGACAAAGAGGCGCCGCCGCCATTTTGTGACGTTCAGCACGGGGCGGTGGCGGGGGTTCCCGGCCCATCAGAGGGTTTCCTAGTCTTGGGGTGGAGGTGTTTATATTCCTTAGTGGGTGATGAGCCAGGATAGGGGGTTACCTGGGAGTTGGGAACCACAAAGGGGACCGATAGCCGAGTTGTATTCCAGGTCGCGGCCTTTTTATGTTTATGGCGCCTTTTTTTTTGGCCCATCATTTAATTGGGAAGCTCCTCGGAATGCTTTTGTAAAGTCACTAACCAAGAGTGGATCTTTTAGTTCATGTTAAATGGCCCCCGTAATCACCTTTACTTTCATGTAGTTTCAGTTTTTGCAGCCTGAATCTAATCACTTTTTTCTAAGACCGATCTTCCTTGAACTTCTTCGTTCTTTTAGCCGCCTCCCATTAAAATGTAGGCTTAAGACAGGTGCCAGCGGTGTTTTTAAAGATTTTCACCAGTGGTTTGATCTTAGAACTCCTGGGCACAGGGTGTGGTCACAGCAAGTAGGATGTGTCTGGACTGGATATTTTAATTAGACAAGCCCAGAGTAAGAAGAACGTGGTGTTTATGGAAAGCACTTAAGCTAAATTATTGAGTATATGGTTTTTATGTAATTGAAACTGGTCTACAAGTTTATCAGATTCATCGCCGAAGTGACGACTAAGTAATAAAGCTTAATCAAATGTAAGTCCGCCAAGGAAAAACAAAAAAATAAGTCCCCAAAGTGCAGTGAATTTTTGAGTAGCAAATGCCACTTTGTAACTTTTTATTAAAGTAAAATTATCTCAAAGTAGTATTTAGTATAATCAGTGTTGTGTAATCATCACTTACACGTAGTTCCAAAACATTTCCGTCACCCCCCACCGCCCCCAGGAGACTCCTACCCATTGAGCCCTTACTCCCAGTTTCCCTGTCCCACTTCCTCCAGTCACTAGCCACCACTAATCTGTCTCTCTGAACTTAGCTATTTTAGATATTTAGTATTTATGGAATCGTGTATTTTTATGTCTGGCTTCTTTAGCGTAATGTTTTCAAGATTTTCCAACGTTGGAGCATTTGTCAGTACATCATTCTGAACAATACTCATTTTATGTCTATACCACATTTTGCTTATCCGTTTCTGTTGATGGACATTTGGGTTAACACCTTTTTGGCTACTGTGAATAAGTGCTGCTATGAGCTTACGTTTAAAAAAAAAAAAAACTGGAAAGTTGGTCTCGTTGCTTGAGAAATTCTTACTGCATAAGACTTTGGTCTATTTAATGACATGTGATAGCAGCCTTGTTCCTATGATTTCAAATGACCAAAACAATTTTTTTGACGATGGAACCTCGCTCTGTCGCCCAGACTGGAGTACAGTGGCGCGATCTGGCTCACTGCCACCTCCGCTTCCCGGGTTCAAGCGATTGTTCTGCCTGAGCCTCCCGAGTAGCTGGGACTAAAGGTGTGCGCCACCATGCCCGGCTAATTTCTGTATTTTTAGTTGAGACGGAGTTTCACCATATTGGCTAGGCTGGTCTCGAACTCCTGACCTCGTGATCCGCCTGCCTCGGCTTCCCAAAAGTGCTGGGATTACAGGCGTGAGCCCGGTCCATGGACATTTTTTTTTGAAATGAAAAGTTGGGTTTTTATTAAAGCTGATACGTTTTGGCTTATGTAGGCACTTTGAATCCCTTTCCTGGTAGTGTAACCTAAAGGACTAGCTTTCTTCATCATTGTTGTATTTGGTTTTGAGTCCCCATTCTTTTATATTTGAGTATAAAAGAACTCTTTTATACTTTTCTAGAAATGCTTTATTTTGGGAATTAAATAAAATAACAGGTTAAGTCTTTAACTCACGGCCCAGATGATGGTAAATGCTCCTCCAGTGTTCTCACGTTCCAAGGAAGCTGTTTTTTCCTTCACTAATTGCTGGCTTCCTGAGGGTTACGAGAGTAAAAGTTAGGGTGCTTAGCAGTAACATTTCTTGTTTGGTTTCTGGCATTTTGGAATTAAGGTTTTTTTCTCTTTACATGCTACCTTAAACTCTTGTGCACCATAATGGAATTCTTTCTAAGGATCTGTGGTTTTAACTGTAGATGTTTAGATAAATGAATATTTTTGGTATTTTTCATTACAGAAATGCATCGTGATTCCTGTCCATTGGACTGTAAGGTTTATGTAGGCAATCTTGGAAACAATGGCAACAAGACCGAATTGGAACGGGCTTTTGGCTACTATGGACCACTCCGAAGTGTGTGGGTTGCTAGAAACCCACCCGGCTTTGCTTTTGTTGAATTTGAAGATCCCCGAGATGCAGCTGATGCGGTCCGAGAGCTAGATGGAAGGTGATTTAAATTGATACAAATGTATTGCTTGTATTTTTCATATTTAAAATGTATAGGATATGTGGCTCTTAGATCTGGCTTTCCCAATCACTGGCCAATTGTATCTTTAGATACAATTGGGATTTTTTTTTTTTTTTTGAGACGAGTCTTGCTCTGTCACCTGGGCTGGAGTGCAGTGGTACAATCTCGGCTCACCGCAGCCTCTGCCTCCCGGGTTCAGGTGATTCTCCTCCCTCAGCCTCCTGAGTAACTGGGACTATAGGCGTGTGCCATTATGCGGGGCTGATTTTTGTATTTCTAGCAAAGATGGGGTTTCACCATGTTGACCAGGCAGGTCTCGAACTCCCGACCTCAGGTGGTCTGCCTGCCTGGGTCTCTCTCCCAAAGTGCTGGAATTACAGGTGTGAGCCACTCTGCCCAGCCAGGATCAAATATTTTTAAGAGTAGTTGTGAACTGATACTTTAAAAATTGTTTACAAAATGGTTACACGGGTTTGTTGTATCTTTACTTTTATGTGTTTGAAATACTTATTCCAGAAAGTGAATCAGTTACTATCTCCCTTTGTGTTAATAGTGTCCTGTTAGCTGGCTAAGTAAGGCCTGAGTATTGACCTCCATGCCCCCACCCCCCTTTCCTCATCTTTGGAAATATAATGGAAAAAAGGGTCTGAGCGTTCACTGTAAAGCTACATGAAAGGTTGGTCAATTCAAGCAGGTCGTAGTAAAGTTTTCCAGGGCTCACCTCTTCCCAGTCACTGTCCAAATATGATAGCTTATCTAAATTTAATGACTGGTTGTATGAGGGGTGAGAAGTAATGGTCTTTTCTACTACTCTGAGCTATAATTTCTTTTTTTAAAAAATGTATATTATTTAAAAAATAATACAGATGGCGGTCTATGTTGCCCAGGCTGACTTCAAGCTCCTGGGCTCAAGCCATCCTCCTACCTCAGTCTATCTGAGTGCTGGTATTACAGGAGTGAGCCACCTCACCTGGCCACAGCTATAATTTGTTCTGTGCTGACTATTGAGGGGAGAGGGTACTGTAAAATGGCCAAAATGGTTGTCTTGTCTTGAGCCCATTTTTTACTTGGAGTTGGGCGGGGGGAGACCAATAAATACAGCCTGACAAATAACTGAAATAAGTGCTGGGACCTCAAAGGAAGAAGTCGTAATGAAGATACAGAAGAACTTGTTTTTCAAGGATAAATGGATCTTCACACTTAAATTGCAACTGTTAACAAATTAATATTGAGCTCAGTAGTCAGACTGGCTCTAACAATTAGGCAATAAAATAGAAGTTGGCTTCCTTGTGAATTGGTACTTTAGAAAATCCTATTTAATTGTTTAATTTGAAATTAATTGAAGTTTTAATTTGAAACTGGGAAACAAACTTATTTTGTTTTTCAAGACAGAGTCTTGCTCTGTCCCCCAGGCTGGAGTGCAGTGGCGTGATCTTGGCTCACTGCAACCTCTGCCTACTGGATTTGAGCGATTCTCTTGCCTCAGCCTCCTGAGTAACTGGGATTACAGGCATGTGCCACCACACCTGGCTATTTTTTGTATTTTTAGTAGAGCCAGGGTTTCACCATGTTGGCCAGGATGGTGTCGAACTCTTGACCTAGTGATCCGCCTACCTCAGCCTCACAAAGTGTTGGGATTACAGGTGTGTACCACCATGCCCGGCCAAAGCTCACTTATATTAGTAAAAATAAGGGAGCTAGAAATTTGGTATTAAATTTCACAGACATTCAGATGTGTTCTTTGCAGAATAGCCAACTGGGAGTACTTTTGGCTTTAATACACATGTCAGAAAGTTAGGCTGTTTTAAGTTTAATATCTTTGCTTCCTCAGAACACTATGTGGCTGCCGTGTTAGAGTGGAACTGTCGAATGGTGAAAAAAGAAGTAGAAATCGTGGCCCACCTCCCTCTTGGGGTCGTCGCCCTCGAGATGATTATCGTAGGAGGAGTCCTCCACCTCGTCGCAGGTACTTGAGAGAAAGCTTGTTTAGAGGTATTGGTGTAATGGAGTAGCTAGTAGGAGCAGGTATTTCTCTTAAAAGTTTGTTGGTGGGTTTTAAACTTTGGAAGAATCGGAGGTTTCTATGAATACATTTGTTGGGTGTAGTTTGGGGTATGTGAGTTGTGCTGAGTGTTGGCTTTTGTCTTTAGGTCACTGTTCATGTTGGTAGTCAGTAACTTCTATCTTGGATCTGTCTTCTAGTTCATCTTTCTAGTTGCATCTTTCCAAATCTTCCCTTATACTTCAATTTAGGCCTTTTTCCATTTCTTGGCTCCATAATGACAAACATTACATTCAACTCTAGCTCTTCACAAATTTGTGTTTTCTACTACTAGCGCAATTGTAATATTTATCAAACAGGCAGCTGTTTTAATGTTACAACTGGTAAAGTAGAAGTCATTCTGAAACTAACTTAAGTCACTGACCAATAAAGGGGGCTAAAAAAGACGTAATCCCAGTCATCTGTTCTTCAATCCCAAATAGGAGAAAATTCAGTTTTTTTATAATTGAAAATGGCATCATTCTTGGACCAGGCAGTATTGTCTGGTTGCTAACTCCACATCTCCTCAGACCTCCAAAATAGTTTCTATAGGACTAAATTTACCTCTTACAGGTGAGTGGAGTCCTTCTAGGAGACAGGAGTTCAAAATCTTGCCCCTTTTGCTATTTTGAAAAACAACAGCACACTGTTGCCCATCATAATAAAGAGTATTTGTTAGCTAATAGATGGTTGTACTGATGGCTTGTTTTTCATTTTTTTTTGTGCTTTTTGGTCCATCTATTAATAAAAATGAACCCCGTTACAGAGTCACCATCATGTCTCTTCTCACCACCCTCTGAATCTGCATTAGCCAGTCAACTAGCCCTTTCAGCGTCATGTGACCAGCGCGCCCCATTCAGCTTGGCTGGTGTCGTTTCACATGACCCAGGCTGGCCAGTCGTCAGGTTGCACCGCCCTTTGGTTCCCGAGCATGCTGTTTTCTCTCAGCCTTCTCTCCAACCTTAACCAAATCGGCAGCAGCCACCTCGACCGCCCACACATTCCTGGCCAATCAGCTCAGCTGTTTATTTACCAAATGTCTTCACAACAACTACAGCAGCAGCCTTCGGCTAACAAAAAAGCAGGAAAAATCCACAACACCCCCTTCGCCAACCAACTAAATCCAACGCAACATCTGGCAAAACCTTTTCAGCAAATTCTTCCTGGCCGTCAGTCCGGCAGCCTCACCTCACCATTTCTAGCTTGTTGAAACCCAAAACTAGTAAGTTTTTCCTGCTTATACAGTTTACTGCTGGTTAAAATAAGGAGTAAGCGGCTTAAAGTAATTCTTTTTTCTGGATCAAAGGCTGGCTGTGCATAATTGAATGGTAACGTACATATATATTGCTTGAAAAACTTTTAAGGGTGATAGGGAACTCGTAATGTAACTAGACCTTCAAGTGAAACTTATTTGCATGTGCGAGATGCCAAACTAAAAAATTTTAATATCTCTAACAGATGAGCTTTCTTTTCTGGCAAAAATTTGTTGAATCCTATCACCTTTAAATGGTTTTACTAACAGTTTCAAAATTTAAAATTTTGGGGTTGAAGTGTGGGCCAAGCTAAGGTAATTTTGGTAAGCCTAAACACACTCTTAAATGTGACGATCACAAATGCAGTTCTAATGTACCACTTAATGGCATCAATATTTACACCTACCGCGTTTTCACAAAATTACACTATCCACCTGGTACCTAAGTCTTGTCATGGACTTACAGGTTTGCATGGGTTCCAAATACTGGTTTATGGTACTGTTTTTGGAACTACTTGTGGGACTATATTTTGGTGTGGTGTTTGGGTAGTGAGGTTAGTTTGACATGAAGTTTTGCATTGGACAGATCTGCTGTGAAGCATTCTTTGTTAAAGTGAATCCATGGTTGGAATACCTGCTTTTCACTTGAGCTTTTTGTTCCTTAATCCTTCTGTGCCTTTTTTTTCTTTTCTTTTTTTTTTTGGACGATGGGTGCCAGTTCTTCGGCACATTCACTGGGCCCAACAGTGAGATTGAAAAGTTGGGAAATGCCTCACGCCATAAATACTAATTGATGATGAGCCTAATTTTCCCGTTTCTGCTTTTAGATCTCCAAGAAGGAGAAGCTTCTCTCGCAGCCGAAGCAGGTAAATGACTACCTTTTTTGGCTACATTCTTAGAAATGGCAGTGTTTCTGCTGTTCTTAAACTTTTCCAGATGGCTTGGTTAATGGGAATAAACTTTGGCTTTAATAGTGAACAGGTTGTAAGGATGAGTCACTTTTGAGTTTTCAAAGACTTTTTAGAAAGTATTTAGTTTTTTTAAAAAAGAGGGTCTGTCACCCAGGCTGGAGTGCAGTGGTGTGATTATAGCTCACTGTGTCCTTTAACTCCTGTCCTTGGAGTGATTCTACCTCTTCGGCCTCCTGAGTAGCTCAGACTACAGGCACATACTATCACACCTGGCTAATTTATTTTTTGTGGAGATGGGATCGATCTTTGTTGTCCACTCTGTTCTCAAATTCTTGGCTTCACGTGAGCTTCCTGCCTCTGCCTCCCAAAACATTGGAATTATTGGCATGAGCCACCATGCCAGATCAAGAGAATATTTACGTATAATTTTACCATACCTCATTGGTCCTAATGTTTTTTCTGTCGTTTAGGTCCCTTTCTAGAGATAGGAGAAGAGAGAGATCGCTGTCTCGGGAGAGAAATCACAAGCCGTCCCGATCCTTCTCTAGGTCTCGTAGGTAAGATCTTAAGATAATTTATATTTAAGACTTTGCATACATAGTGTGCTAAGACCTTTTTTGTAAGCATGAATTTTTTACTTTAAAAGTCTATTTTGATACATCACTAAGAGTTACCAAGTTACAAATGTAATGTTTTGTTTTCTGTTTTTTTAGCCGATCTAGGTCAAATGAAAGGAAATAGAAGACAGTTTGCAAGAGAAGTGGTGTACAGGAAATTACTTCATTTGACGGGAGTATGTACAGGAAATTCAAGTTTTGTTTGAGACTTCATAAGCTTGGTGCATTTTTAAGATGTTTTAGCTGTTCAAAATCTGTTTGTCTCTTGAAACAGTGACACAAAGGTGTGATTCTCTATGGTTTGAAATGGATCATATGAGGCATGTAATACCAAGAATTGTTACTTTACAATGTTCCCTTAAGCAAAATTGAATTTGCTTTGAACTTTAGTTTTGCATAGACTGATAATAAACCTCTAAACCTGCCCAGCAGAAGTCTGATTTTTTTTTTTTAAATACAGAAACAACTGGCAAAAAAACTAAGATTTACTTTTTTTCCATAGCTGGGATATAGGATGCAGCTATAGTTGAATAAGCAGTCTTCAAAAACTGCTGTGAAACACAAGCCATCAGGTAAAAAGAAACGCTGAACTATTAAATTAGAGGTTTTTGAAAAATCCAACTTTCATCCTGGGCAGAGGTTGCCTAGTTGGTATAGAATCTGTTATTCAAGAAAGTTTACCTTTGCTTTAGGTCATAAGTTCCTTATTTGATTGCTGTATATGGATACATGGCTGTTCGTGACATTCTTTATGTGCAAATTTGAGATTTCAAAAAATGTCCTGCCAGTTTAAGGGTACATTGTAGAGCCGAACTTTGAGTTACTGTGCGAGATTTTTTTTTCATGCTGTCATTTGTAATATGTTTTGTGAGAATCCTTGGGATTAAAGTTTTGGTTACAAATTGTTGTTTAACTTGAAAGCCTGTTTTTCCTTGCAAACTCAAATCTGTGAGCTTGGTACCAAGTCCAGGTATAACATTCCTATTGGAAGCCATACTTATATTTTCTTGTAAAGTGCTTTTGAATTAATAAAATATTAGCATAATGGTGTAATAGTCAGTTGAACCCACTGTTAACCATTGTTCTTATCCCATGGGAAGCAGTTGGTTACACGATTCTTATTTTATAAGAAACACAGCTGAGAGGCACTATGGATTAGTCTTCTGAAGTGAAGGGAATATAGATGTCACCTAAGTGATAGTTAACACTTTTTTTTTTTAAGGAGTAGAAGCCAGTTCAGGGTCCATGTTGTTTAGTGACCAACATTTTAAAGTATAGCAGCAACCTGGTACTTAAACACAAAGTAAATTGCCCATTAACAATCGTTTTTATCTTTAGCATGAAAACTTTCCACAGGTCTAAAAATTGCTTCCATTTTTTAATTTGAGGTGTTGCATGGGAATTCTAAGCTGATCCATCATGATGTAAAGTTCACAATATGGTTCAAATGTAACAGTGCAGAATTGAATATGGAGGCATGCATAACCTTCCTCTTAGAAAATGGGAGGAGTTGTAATTTCAAATTTTTGTGCAATTAGATTAAATCATAATGCAACAGTCTTGTGGCTTAGTTTCCTTAAATATGCTCTTTCAAGATAGTTTTGGATTATGCTGTATTGACTGTCTTAAATATGAAAGATAAGTCATTGCATTAAGAGTTCAAGCTATATGAATATATTAAGATATATGGCCGAAATAATTATTAAATTATTTCCACCTTTTACACAAATCTCGCGGGGAGAATTGGTGTCAGGAAGATTCAGCCTTGAAGTTAAGCATGTTAGCTTTAAGAGCTGAGATCTAGCTACTTCACTCCAACCTGAGTGAAAGCATGTTCAAGAAAGACACTTTTCAGACTGTTGATTTACTGCAAACTCTAGCATTGGGCATTTTGTCTTTCAGTATTCCCACATAGCCTAAAAACTGTTCCTGTTAGGAACAAGGCAAGATAGCTAAGAAGTTACGGAAGCCACGCAATGTGTCAATTACATTGCTTTTATAAATGGAGAACTTAACATGGGCATTTTTTGGAACTATATGCCCAAAATATGCAGGCTCTTAAATTGGAAGGGTTTCTGTAAAAAGGACAGTTAGTTATGGGTATAATATGGCTAAGAGGAATAATACAGAACCTAAAATAAAAGTGACTTTACCAGGGAGTTACCCTGACTTAAGTGACTTACAGTCCCAGTTTGCAGTTACTTTAACTAGAAGCCCTAGCACAACCTCAAGACTTAAACTGTAGAACATGGAACTTGTTAAAGCTTTGAATTGCACATTTAGATTGTGGCTCTTTGGAAGTTTTAAAGTTCCTGTAATTTCCAAAATAACAGGTCACATTAACCAGTCTTGTCCATATTCTGGGTTGAGTGTAAAACTGAAAGAAATCACAAAACTGAACTCAGACCTGTGGTTTAAGGATTAAGGTGTTCACTAGAAATCACTATTATTAACACTTGATGGCAATGTAAAGAAATATTAAGGATTATAGTTGGTTATGTTTTCAAAGATACTGGCTGAACGTGGTGGCTCATGCTTGTAATCCCTAGCACTTTGGGAGGCTAGGGCGGGCGGGAGGATCTCTTGAAGCCAGGAGTTTGAGGCCAGTCTGCCCAGCATGACAAGATTTACATTTCAATTTTTTTTCTTTTTTAAAGGAATATTTAGCTTGATTTGGTTCACAGTTTATTGTGGGTTGCTTCTGACCTCCATGTCTTTCGCAGAAAGTTGAAAATAAGGAAGGTGTAGTTGACCAAGCACAGGTACCCTGTATCTACCGTATGAGTATCTTAGAGATCCTTTCAAACATGCAATCTGTCAATGTCCATGACACCCCCACCTTATTAGACTGCGGTCAGTCGCGCTCACTCAAACCCATATGTGAGTGGGAAATCCAGGTTATTACTATATTGATTTTAGTACAGTGCTGCTTAATTAGGAATTTTGTTGGATTGAAGAGGTATTTCAGAATAGATACAGCCAGACTCCTGGCTCATTGACTTAGTTTTTCAGGGTGACCTAACCCTGTGTAATTTTGAGGAGTTCTACATGATAAATACTCATGGTGATGTGAGAACCACTAGTTTAGTATATTGTCCAAGTTTGTTTTTTTCAGAGTTCTGAATGAGATTTAGTTGTCATATCTAGTTGGTGGTAATCTCTTATAGTTGTATATTTTTGTATTGCCAGATTGTTGCCTTCTGGTTTTCCATCTTTTCGAGAAAGATTTCTAATTAAAGTTACTGAAGAAAAACTGGGTTGGAAGTATATTTTTCTCTAAATAATCCAGTAGTGTTGAATTTGATTTTATATGTCCACACTATTTTTTTTCATCCTGTTTTATTAAGGATTCATTGGGTACCTGAAGAGAATGCAGCTGTAGACCCCTTAAGGTTCTGAGACCAAGATCATTGAAATTTGTTTTGACTGGGCACGATGGCTCATGCCTGTAATCACCATACTCTAGGAGGTTGAGGCAGGCGGATCACTTGTGGTCAGGAGTTAGAGACCAGCCTGGTCAACATGGTGAAATCCTGTTTCTACTTACAAAAATTAGCCAGGCATAGTGGCAGGCGCCTATAATCCCAGCCACTTGGGAGGCTGAGGCAGGAGAAGCGCTGCTCCTGGTGGTTGGAGGTTGCTGTGAGCTGAGATCTAGCCACTTCAGCCTAAGTGAAAGCGAAACTCTGTCTCCAAAAAAAAAAAAAATATGTTTTGGTTAGCCTAGTATAATTGCTTAGTTTTGTCCATGCAACTTTCCCCTTGTTGGACTGTAGTACTTCATAATACAGTATTTGGATTCTCATTTAGTATCGTATTTTCTGTGGATTTGATGAAGGTACCAAAAATGATTCCTAAAGTAACACATGAAATACATGTGCAAAACATTGGTGTTTTTTTTTTTGGCTGTAAGTTTATTCAATGCAAAAGAATCCTCTCCAGTTTTACTGAGGTGGCCGACCACGTGGTCCATGACCAAATCTGCCTCTAAACTGAAATTCGGTTGCTGACCCAGCCCCAGCCTCGGCTTTCTTGTCGGCACCAGGTGGCACAGCACTCCTTCTGTAGGTATCTCTGTCAGCTTCCCCTCTTGTGAGCTTTGCAGGTTGCTCACCCTCCAGACCTTTAGGCCGAGGCCTGCCAGTCTGGACAACTACAGCATAGGGTGGCAGGCACAATCTCCGGGGGCAGATGAAGGTAATCACGGAGATACCCTCATTGGTAAGGTACCAGTAGAAATGTCTCCAGGCAAACTGTTCTTCACGTAGCCTCGGGACTTGAGAGACTGCATGGCCTTCATGACATGAAGATGAAGGTTGGGCACATTCTTGTCTGCCAGCTCCGGGTGCTTAGGCATGTGGACATCCTTCTTGGCCACCATGACTCTCTCCTTAAAAAGGAGTTCATAAATGGCAATCTGGTTCTTAGGCATCAACATCTGACAGGTCTCCGCCACGCACTAGCTTCATCCTCCCACTCTCCCTCCGACAATCTTCGCCAACCAGCGGCCCCCTACCCCATAAAATAAGCCTCCAACCCCTGTTGCTACTCAGAAATGGGTGTGGGGGGAGTGGGAGAAAGGCCCTCTGCCCGCATCCTAGGGAGGAGCAGCAGATAAGGCGGCAGGATGGCCCGGATGGGAGCCAATGGAACTGGAACTCCACCAACATTGCTTTTTTAATCTTTAGGTCTTTCTCATTTCTGATACAAGGCATTGTATGGTTGTTTTACTATAAAAGATGTAGAATATGGCCATGTAGTGCCTCACTGTAAGTTGGTACATGTGTCTTGAGCAAATGGAAATATCAAAACATTGATACTTCTCCCTAATCATTTGGAAGGTCCCGAGATGGAGACTATTTACAGGGCAAAATTAAACCTTCCGGAAAAGTCTATAGGTTGGAGTCTGCTTTTGAAAGCCTTGATAATTTGTGGTTGGGCACCTTTGTTTCAATATATGCCTCATTCAGATTTCATCTGGAGCAAGTTAGCATTCTTGTTTGTGTTTTGTTTTTTGAGACCAGTGTTGCCATGGCTTACTGCAGCCTTGGCCTCTTGGGCTCAAGCATTCCTCCCACCTCAGTCTCCCAAGCAGCTAGAACTACAGTCACACACCACAAAAAAATGTTTTTTAAGAGATGTGGTTATGTTCCCCAGGCTGGTCTGGAACTCCTCAAGCGATCCTTCTGCCTCAGCCTCCCAAAGTGCTGGAATTACAGGCCTGAGTCACCTTGCCCTGGCCAAGTTAGCATTGTTTACTGTTTTTTTATTTGCTCACAAAGCCCCAAAATGTCAACCTAAGGGGAATGTTATTGAAGTTGTTGCCTAATGCTGCCTGGAGCAGGGCAGCGGCGGGAGGGGGTGGGGTGGAGATGTGCAATTTATATTGGTCATTTGGAGAAGGAAATCTTCGAGTATTAAAAAAAAAAAAAAGAACGTTGTATAAGTCTTGAGACATAGAAATTTATTTTTTATTTAAATTTTTTTTTGAGATGGAGTCTGTTACCCAGGCTGGAGTGCAGTGGCTTGATCTCGGCTCACTGCCACCTTCGCCTCGTGGGTTCAAGTGATTCTCCTGCCTCAGCCTCCCTAGTAGCTGGGACTACAGGCATGTGCCACCACGCCCAGCTAATTTTTGTATTTTTAGTAGAGCCAGGGTTTCACCGTGTTGGCCAGGCTGGTCTTGAACTCCTGATCTCAAGTGATGTGCCTGCCTCGGCCTCCCAAAAGTGCTGGGATTACAGGCATAAGCCACCGCGCCCAGCCTAGAAGTTTCATTTTTGAAAGAATAACTCCTTTGGGAAACAATTCTAAATCTTAAGCTCAGGTAGCTGGTAACTTTTAAACACCTCGTCCAGCTGGCTCTCTGCCACCAGAATCTCATAATTACATTTATTTTTAGTTTAGATAAAACTACCCATGTTTTCAATGAAAGTATTTTATAAATACAAATTGGAATGTTGATTTGTCATTTAATTTTTTCATATTTTCCTCACATGTCAAAAGACCATGACACAAGCCACTTATGGGATATGGTGATAAATCATAACACCAGCTCAATA